TATGAAAGTGTTAGGCGAGTTATTATATCCAAACCAGAATTTTCCATAGAAATCTTCACTACTGCATTTCTTTTTCTTTTTTCATTACTATCTAAAAACTAAAACTGTATCCCCGCGTAAAGATGCTGACAGCGTTCCCCCTTTGTATGGGTAAAGCGTTGGGCGAGGTAGCTACTGCCTATTAACTTTTTAGATAAAATTTTGTACTGATGAAGAGCACCGGGAGCCCACGGGCCACGGGTTTCAACTCCAAAGACTGTAAATAGGTAGTCGAAGCCAAAGTCCTGGTACTTGTTACTAAATGGATAAACAAAACAAATGTTATTTAAGTTTCAATTAGAATCGTATGCATGGAAACCGATACGACTGGAGGCAATGAAAGGATAACCTATCGCAAACTCGAATTTATTTTCCGAAATAACGTTACGTTTACAAGAAAGTTTAAGTTGCAAAAGGAGAACGCTACCAGCATCTTGGGCACCTTGCCGCGGGGACCCAATTCTATTCATATAATTTAAAAATCCTAGTTTCACTTTCTAGTATATAAGCTTTTATTCTACCTTACCTGTAATATTATCAAAATAAAAATACATCTCCTAGTTATATAGTGGATGTATCTAAATCCTTGCCAATAATAGCGGATTAAAACGACCCTGCGTGGTAATTGTTCTATTCTGTTATCTTAAAATTGTAAAGCGAAATTATCAAATGCTAATCTTTAAATCGTAAAATACGACATAAAGGATATTATTTTCAGTATTTTTCAGCAGTTCGGTTCTACTCACAGAGCAAAGAAGCCAAATTGAGTTGGAAAGACTGTTGAGTTATTGGATGCCATCATGATTGGTGTGTACTTATTTTTTTTCTTTTAGAAAGTACATTATTTTATAAATATATACTATGTACATAATCAGGGTTATGATAACATTTATTAATTTACTCTCACGAATTCAATAAAAAAAATTAAAATAAATTCCGAAAAACTTCCGAAATGGATAATTTTTTCAAGTTCATTCGCATTTGGGACTCTGTGAACCATTCAACAAGTTTTCTATGATATTAAGTATTTAGTTAATTATTACTCTTACTTACTTCATGCAAATTATTGTGGTATTATATTTTAAATGAATCCATTTCATTTAATATTTATACAATTTCTATTAAATTCAATTTCAAATTTATATTTTCAGAAACTCATATTAGAATCCCATTCTGAAATAATATATCTATCTTTTTTGTAGTGAAGCTACTTATATTACTGCCGCTAGTGGTGACCATCCAAGCCAGGCATCAAGAAGATGACTACAGTGGTCCGTTCCTACCTAATGGCTGTCCAACCGATTTCGAGGTCCATTGGCTCCTACGACACGATACCGAATGCAGTAAATTCTACTATTGTAATTTCGGAGAGAGGGTAGAAAGGGACTGTTCCGATGGTACTGTATTTAACTACTGGGCCAACCCTGGACCGGTAAGTATTTTTTGTTTACATACCATTATTATCACCACCATCCACAGCCCGAATTCTCCCACCGTCAACCGACAATCCTGTGCTCATCTTACCCATCTACGGCCCACCACTTTGACGATGTAATCCACCCATCTCGCTGTCGTACGTCACACGTTTCTTGGCCACCATTCAGTTATCGCTTTCCTCCATTTGTATTCACCACGTCATGCAATATACTGAGCTCCATTTTGAGCACGTTATCCTATCTCCTACGTCCTGGATCTTAGTTCGTTTTCGGATTTCGGAATTTGGAACTCGATCAACAAGTTTGACTGACTCACTCTATGTCATAAAAAATAATACGAAGTACATGAAACAAATTATGTATATGTGGAATTTTATAACGCTCCTGTTTAAGCATAGAACATTAATCCTCTCTCCTGAAAAGTTATAATTTTGCAAATGTAGGCTATTTACACCAACGTTCATGTTCTCGATGATCCCAAACTCACAGATGGTTTAGAGTCGCCTAGACTTCAGAGTGACCTTCACTCTCTATGTGTGTGTTCTACCGTCTTTATAATAGGGAGTGCTCAGAGTAACTTTTCGTAGAGTTCATTCCTACATCATCGTTCCCTGACAACGTAAGACTACGCTGGCATCACGTTCGTTCATCCCTCGAGCCTGCAATATGTGGAATGGTCTCTCTCTTGAAGTTTTCCTTTGCGCTTTGAGATGAGATTCCTCAAAAAGCATGTCAACAGGGCTCTCAAAGGCTGGCAAGGCATAGACAGCTCATTTCATGTTACAGATGTCCATGGGCGACAAGGACCTCCCATCAACTGGCTCGTCTGCTCTTTCGCTTCCTTTTATAATAAAACTAACTTACGCAGATATGACGCATACTCGGATCATTTTCGATTTCCTGCTTTGAGACAAGGGTATTGGGGTTTGCATTTAATTTCACTAATCGACCCCTGATCAGAGGAACTTAAAAAAGAAACAAAATTCGATTGCTGAAGAGGTTGTATGTCACAATTATCATTATTAAACTTGACTAACTTGTATTTTATTTGAAGGTTTGCGACTGGCCCAGAAACGTGGATTGCGATGCTCTTTACCCACCACCAACCGAAGACTCACCAGCACCAACCGACGGCACAACTACATCACCAGACACATGCCCACCCACAGGTACATGCCCACCACCACCTGACTGCGATCATGACTGCGAAAGTGACTGCGTTAAACCATGGCCTCACGCAACCGATTGCGATAAACTCTGGATATGCAAAGATGGCGTGGCTACCGTAGTTACTTGCTCTGAAGGTCTTCACTTCAATGCTGAGACTGGCACGTGTGATTTCATTTGTAACGCCGGCTGTGTAAGGAGACATCCACAAACTACGTCTCATTGGCATGGTGTTCAGTTCTTCATGCCCTGGGAAGCGGTTGACGAGGAACTGAGAAATACTCACCACATCCGAGACGAATCGACGACAAAGAAAATTAATTCTCTGTTAAGACGTTAAAAGAAAAAAAAACTGATTTTGTAACTTCGTAAATAAATACTTCAAAGAATCAATTTTACGACTGTCTTTTATTGGTAACAAATAGAGTTAAAAAAGCTATAATTTATAATATATTTAATTGTTTATCAGGAACAAACACACAAATCACATTTAATAAAAAAGAAAACACAAAAAAAGGTGTTTATTTCTGAAAGAAATTTCTTTCTGCAGATTTAAATAACGGGCACGTGCTTTAAAAAACAAAAAATATGTAATAATTATTTGTCATTTACTTCAAACTAATTTTCATATTTAGTTAGTATTAACAATGTTCTTATTCTATGACAATGAAATTTTATTAGTTATTTAATGGTTATTTATTTAAGATTATACATAGTAACTCTGGAAAGAATGCGGGCAAGTACATTTACAACATAACAAATTGTGCACGTAGAACATATTATCTATTTCTGCTGCCAAGCATGCATGTCAAGCATTACTGTGTTCGGGTAAGGGTGCTGGTGAAATTACAGGCATATGGGACTTGTCAATTTATGTCTCAAGGTGACGGGTGCAGTGGCAGTGCCACTGTTATGGACAGGCGTGTAGCTTATCAGGCGCACGACTTGTTCGTCCCGTCAGTTGACTTATAAAAAAACAAAAGAAAAGCTCATGGTAAATTTTAAATTAGATTTCGCACATAAATTCCGAGAAACTCAAAGATGGATTCGAACACGCTGCCTCTGAGAGGCGTAGGTTATAATATAAAATATCCCGACACCTCCAATGAGCTCTACGCCTATTTAATATTTGAACCAGTTCTATTTTGTTCAAAAAATTCGTATTTTTGTTTTTTGTTTTATTTTTCTTTTTTCAAAATTCAAGGAGCGTAATATTAGAAAATAAGCATGGCTGTTTACAAAAAAAAAAATGGCCACGAAAATAAAGTTAGTGTTCATTGATGCCAGTGGAATTGGTCAGAAAAAGGAAGAAAATAAAGACTCATTCTCCTTATACTGCTTATCGAAGGTCAATCCAAGGCGCAGATATCGCCTACCATTGGCAAATCCCTCGGCAAAAACAATTTCGTTTCTGTCATATTTACTATTTATAATCCCTAAAGAATAAATTCCAAACATAATTAATCTTTTTTAAACCAAGGATAAGTCACGAAATGATTGCGCGGCTTAGTGTAATTCACACTCACACATTCACACCCGTATCGGTATAAACATTTGTTTAATTAAATTGAGAGATTAAATTATTAATGAATTGTAAAAACCTATTAATTACGATTTGGGATCACGATGGATATATACAATCATGGCGACAGCAACTTGCAATTGACAACCTTTCAGGAAAGCGGTTTAAAGTTTCTACCTTAGAATAATAACGCATAGAAACCTAGCCCGCACACGCTAAGAGAGGCAAATTGAAGCGCTCCCAAAGGGCCTACATTAGCGGGCGGGCCTTCAGTGCTCAAGGTCAACTTGCACCGCGAACAGCTCCAGAATTTTAGCTAAAAATGACGAAATGTGCGGTAAAATAGATACTAACATCACATTCCACAAGGAAGTAACGCGTTTCAACTTGTATTTTTATATAAATATTCACTAAAACCGAAAATTAACCTACTACTAAAACTAACCTACACGAATTTGATTTTTGCCTCACTTGTGACAGTTCGTTTGATATGAAACTATCATTCTATGCGTTATTATTCTAAGGTTTCTACTAACAAAATTAAGACTCTATAAAACCTCAAATGGTTTTTGTTGATTAAAAATAACAGTGAACGTGTTGGATAAATCACTTTGCAAAAGTTAATTATAGTGAAATTGATGATATACACTGATTAGTAGGTGGTGTGAAAACACGATACCTAAAAATTTTCACTATAGAAAAAAAAATGCAAATTTACCACGAAATTTTACAAGAAAACCGCTGTATTCAATGATTTTTTGATAATAGAGCACGTATACTACATACATTTTCAAATGGTTTTAATTTCGTTTGTAAAAACGAAAAATGGAAAGGGAAAAATTGGTGAGGAGGTAATGTCCAGTCTTAACACACACTCACAGCCCCGCGCTAGGGAAACCTGAGTCGCGAATGCCGTGGAAACCCACCTTTACAACCATAAAGGTTCACCATATAAACAGCTTCTGAGTACTTGGATGAGAAAAATCCGTGACCCGTTTAGCTCCTGCAAGGTGCTTCGTTAGAAATAATTGTAACTTTTTAATTGAAAAAACCGACTTTAAAATTTTTCTTATCGGCTTTTTTCGATTTCCATGTCATCATCAGATTATTGGTGACAATGGGTCTGTTACGGACCTTTGCACATTTTATATTTTTTCTTTTTTTTGGTACTGTCTTTTCCATTGGAAAAGGCAAACTTATACAGCCAAGACTTCTTTCTTGGATTCCATTACAAAATGTCTTCGATAGTGCTTCTTACGAATTGATATAAAATTGGATAACATTCTTGATTTTTCTGGAGATCTGGTCAAAGTCAAAGTCAAATATTATTTATTCCATAGGTAAAATAAATTTACACTTGAAAACGTCACATTGAAGCTTAAGCTACTGTTCGTTCACTACGCTGACCTCCCTGAGAAGAACGACCAAGAAACTCTAGGGATTGCTCTTTTCAAATAAACTTAAATGCTATGGAATCAAATTTGTGTGGATTCTGGAGCCATGTCGCCTTTCCATACATCTTTATCTAACACGTAGTCTTCAATTTTGTAATATGATTTTTCGATCAAAATATTTTTAATGTAGTTTTTAAACTTAGGAAATGATAAACTTAATATACGCTCCGGAATCTTATTGTAAAAACGTATACGGTTCCCCATAAAAGAGTTGTTTACCTTGGTTAAACGAAATCGTGGTACCATGAGTTTGGACTTAGCTCTAAGGTTAATATTATGGATATCTTCTTTCTTATTGAAATTATGTACATTTTTACGGGCATATAAAATATTTGAGTAAATAAATTGGTAAAGAAAGCGGGCTGTTTTCATTTCTGATTATCCTCGTAACGGTGATTCGTTGATTACACGTATTGTGTCAAGTGAATATTCGACTTGCGGAAAATAAATAGTAATTTGTGATAGGCGAAATAAACCCTTTCAAACAAACGAACAATTCAAAATTGGTCCGAAATTGATAAAATTCGAAGATTTCCTTCGATTTTCATGGGAGGAGATTTCATCAGAATACGACTTAGTGACAATGGGACCACCAGGAATGTACACCCTTTCAAAAAAAAAAGAATTTTCAAAATCGGTCCACAATTGACGAAGATATCTGAAAACATGCATACAGCCGAACGTATAACCTGTAATAAAGATAATAAAGATAAAGATAAATTTATTTCAATATAACTTAATCTAAATATAAGTAAAAAAAAAAACAAAAACAAATGTAAGGGAAGCTAATATGCAATTGGTAGAAAATAAAATAAAAATAAACCTTTTAAATTATTATACAAATCATAAAGCTATACAATTAATTATTAGAAGCCTACCAGTATAGTTGCGATGCCTAAACTAAGTACATTATTACCTGTATCTTAAGCATCTTGTTTGTGCACAGATTCATTATATTAGTGCTTAAAAACAAAATAGCTATATTTAATTAAGAATAAAACAATTAGCTGTTACAATATATATATGAAATAACTTCTAGTAAACCTTCTGTTTCACCATAGTTTTTATTTTTAAGCCAGCGTTTGACGGTCTTTTTACATCCCATCTTATTCAAGGCATGAAAATGCAATGTTGAATTTAATTTGTAGTAAAGTAATGTACCAAGGAAGCAGAAGAATCTATGAGAGTGTGATGTGCGAAGTTGTTCACGAGAAGAGAAGGTATTGAGTCGTCTTTGGCAGGATGAGGACTTAGACTCAAATGGAGTGATTGAGTGTTTGTAATAAATGTATAATAAGACTTTATTTACAAAGAACCACCCATACAGTTTCTTGTTCATTCTTTTCGGAGAATCTGCCTTATGCAATAAGCTATACCCATACAGTTTAATAAATATAACTATTTCTTTTTTTTAATAATATCAAGTGATGGGACGAACGCGCCTGATGGTAAGCTACACGCCTGTTCATAACAGGTGCAGGGACACTATGAGCTCTAAATCGCAAAGATCTGAGGGGCCCTGAGACATAAGTTGACAAGTCCCATGTGCCTGTCTTACCCTTCAAAATCGGCACGCAGTTATGATAACATTAGTGCTTGGCGGCAGAAATAGATAAGGTGGTACATATTGGTGTGTATCATAAAACAAAAAATGTAGAAAATGTAAAACTTCTCCCGGTCGAGGTCAGACGGTCGCCTTCGGTTCGGGTTTTCAAGGGTTCTCTTTTGAAGTTTTGGGATTGTTCAGACTCCACATGTTAGAGCTTTTGAAATATTTATTTACATTTGATATATTTATTTATAGTTTTATTTTGTACATTCAATTTATTATAGACTTTGTATGTATTAATGTATCAACATTACTTAATATATATATATATTCGTATGTACATTTGATTTATTAAATTTATCTGTGTATTTATTGAGTATAGTATATTTCATATATCTATTTTTAGTGCCACCCCAAAAACCAACTTTCCTCTCAGATTTTCAAAGGTTAGTTGGAAGAAATCTCTTTATGGGATAAGCTCGCCTTTGTACACAAATATTGAAATTGTTTCTGAAAATTTGTAAGTTACTTTGTGGTACAATAAACTGTTTAAATAAATAAATAAATGTAGTAAAAAGTAAGAATTGTAGCATAGCATGTAGACTAAGTGTAGTAAAGAAATGTATTACTGTAAGATATAATTATGTAAGAAGCGCGTAAAAGAAAATAAAATAAAACTGTGTTGTTGTCCACCCAGTAAATCCCGTAAGACATAAACTATGGAAAGAAATAAAGTAGATAGAGATATATATTATATAGAAATAGGCTGGTATGTCCCACCGGCAAAAGTATGAATGAAGATGGATGATAGAAAGAGCCAGTATGAGGTATAAAAGTGCGAGAGGCATAAATATATATATAAACAAGGAGCTCTAC